TGTGTCAATCAAGATATATGCAAGAACAAGTTTAACATTGTGGGTGTGGTGTAAGAATGTTAACACTCTGTAATAATTCTGTAGTATATTACTTGTGTGGTGTAGAGGATAATTATTTATCTAGAGATATTGCTTAGGACTTAAAAGTTGTAAGATGATGTCATGGGGTAGGACTAGATAAGTCTAACTTCTTCCTACTCCATTCAAGCATGTACTAGGTATAAGTAAATTGATATTGGATTATTATTGTTGGATATGTGTGAAATTACATGTGTTGACATATCAACTGTTTTACATGCTTGAATGAATAAATCAAATCAATCAATGAAAAAAATCAAAATCAATTCCTGGTAAAGCCAAAGGAAGCAGAACTTCCTGAGTCAGAGACATTATTTTTACTAATGATCAGCTACCTGTCAGTTCAGCCTCAGGCCATGTTCCGACTGAGTTTCAAGGTATAAAAAAAATGTAGCCCTCTCCATTCATTTCTATGGGGGACTGTGTTCACCGCAGCTGGCACAGCACCGCAGGGGGCGCTGGCAAAACGACACAACCCTTTGCAGAAAAAAGTTGGATCTGTTTCCACTTTCACTGCACAGGATGGTGACATCATCCAGCAAAGGCACTGCGTTGACCAAACACAGGGGACAATTGGGACATGTACACCCACGGAAAGAGGACTCTTTAATGACAGAGCAGGGATTTTAAAAGAAAAAGGAAACAAACACACACCTATTAAATGACAAAGCACACAAGGTTTGATAGTTCCCAGTGTGTCACTTTCCATTAATCAATTACGTGCAAATAAACAGTGGTTATTATCGTTATATACAGAATATATAGGCTGTTATGTGAAAACAAAAAATTTAACTTTTAACCCTCTAAGATTTTAGTTTGGTTTTTATAATGATGTATATTCTTCTGGGGTTACTCTGAGGTTTTGCATTTAACTGACATTTAAAATGGCATTTACAGTATGACTGCTACAGGGTATTTTGGGGACCCAACCACAGCAGTGACTTGAATAAACAAAACCACTAAAGAGCATATTTACTATGGTTTTGTGGCACATTTTTCTGGCACTAAACAGTGAAAGTGTGTGTTCCTATGTCCTTTTTGCCAAAAAATTACAAAGCCCCAAAAAAAAAAAAAAAAAAAAAAAAAGCTGCACCATTGGAAGTTGCTCATTTGGTCTCATGCAGTAATTTTAAGGTGTTCCTGTTTAGGGATGAAAAGTATGTGATCAAATACCCTCAGTACCTGATTTACCACAGCAGGGTGATTGCTGCAGCTGAGAAAGCAGGTTTAAAATTTGTGGCACTGCTGTCAGCATGGCAGCTGTTATTCAACTGAACTGTCGTTGTCTTTAAGAAGAATGTGAGGAACTTTTCTAAGTTTTCAGATCATAAATTCAATTATTTAACAAAATTAAAGACGATTCGGCTGCAAAAAGACTTTGTGATTGCAGTTTGAAAATATGTTTGTTGATTTCTTCAACCAATAGTAAAGTAAGCATAAAACCTGTATCATTTTGAAAAGAAATACTAGCTTTTGTTTTACTTCTTTCATGATCTTTGTTACATCTGTATTGTTGAATAGGACAGAACCTGAGCCTGTTGTACAGCTGTGGTACTTTGCTGTACAAAAATATAACCAAAACTTTCATTTTTAGTATGAGTGGCCCAGGTGGTAAAGAAACCTCTCACTCACCAAATACAGAACTGCACTGCCATTAAAACTGTTCCG